GGAGAGGCCACTGCACTCCAGTCTGGGTGACAGAGTGTGACTCCAACTCAAAAAAAAAAACAAAAATGCTTGCTGAATGGAGGAGTCTCGAGCCAAACTTCAAATCCTGAGTGCTGTCTGCCCACTTGACCACACCCCTCTGCTGGGCCTCACCAATTTCCTGGCTGTAGACCCAGAGACCCACCCAGGCCAACATCAGGAGGGACAATGGACCCTGAGTTTGGCTTCATGGTATAGATTAAGGGGCTTTCTAATTTATGACACGCTTTCACATCCACACTCTCATTTGATCCGGCCGTTGGGAGAGCCCAGGACTGCTAGTCCCAGTTTACTTAGGAAGAAACTGACACTCTGGGAGGGGAGTGCTTGCTTGAGACCTGAAGGCTGGCAGAGCGCAGAACTGGAAAGAACCCCCACATCCCTAGCGGAGCCCCTTCTGCCATTCCATGTTCAGGAAGGCAGAGCAGCCATCAGGATCAGGCTCAAGGTAAGGAGTCTCCAAATCCAAGGCTAACTGAACACTGACAGGTCACCAATAATAACAAAGGCCCATGTTTACTAAGCGTCTACTAGATGCCAGGCACTGCACTAAGTATTTGACATTTGCTGTCTCATTTATTCCACTAACCACCTGACCAGGTAAATATGACTCCTGTCTTACGGACAAGGAAACAGGAAGAAACAGTGTTAAGTAATTTGTCCGCGGTTAGTGAGGAAGTGACAGGGCAATTTGAAGCCAGAAGCCATTCTGAGGTCTTCCCTCTTCATCTTACACTACACTGGCTTTCCATGGGAAACCAGGACCCCTGGCAAGACCCTTCCAGACTAACTAGGCAGAGGCCAAGTTCTCCACAAAGGCAAAGCAGGATCCAAAAGCCCCACCCTGCCCCACTTCCGTTATTCCACCAGGAACAAAGAACTCAGCCCTCATTAGCCACAGGAGCTCTCAGGCAGGAAAACTCACACAAAGCAGTCCCCTCCCAGACCAAAACAAACGTCTTTCCTCCAGATGGAAGGAGAAAGCTCTTCTAAGAGCAGCCTCGGGCAAGACAATCTTCACTCTGGGTTCCAGAACTACCCAAGTTTGAACTAACCCCTCAGAAGAAAAGTCCTCAGGGACAGAATGGAAACCAAGCCTGAGGCTGATACCACAGGACCATGTGCTTACTGTGCACCAACCACAGCCCAAGTGCCAGGCTAAGCAGAATCCCACACCCCCCCACCCCTGCTCCCCCATTCCCCCCCCAACAGAGTTTCAGCCTAAAGCTGGCCTCTACCCTTTGGTGAAGGTGAGAATCATTCTGGAGGTGTTCGGCACCTCTTCAACCTTTCCAAGCCCCTTGGCCACCAGCTCACCTTATGGTCTTTGCCGTCTACCTCATACACAGAGATGTTGCTCTTACGGTAGATTTCCTTCCCTGGGGGCTGCCGCCACTGACACTGACCCTGGGGGTGGGAATGGGGAGAACAAAGGCTTAAGACCCATAGTTTCTCTGCTAGGTTCCCCCAACTCACCACTGTGTGGTTTGGAGCAAGTCCCTACCTCTCTGTTTCTCCCCACTCAACACTTTACCAATGTCGAGTATTCTTCCTACTGACCTTAGGAGATAGATCCTATTTTACAGATGAAAACACCAAGGCACAGAGAGGCTAAGTAACTTGCTCAACCGTAACACAGATAGAAAGTTCAAGTCTAAGTTGGCCTGGCTCTGTAGAGCACTCATCCATGACACTGGCTTTGCTAAACTGTATACATTCGCCTCAGATTCTGCACTTTGGGAAACGTCACTGTGCTAGTGATGAGAGCGCCCCATTCCGGACAGCCCCCAAATCCCAATTCTGTCCACACCTTAAGTCACCATTGCGCAGGGGCTTCCTCCTTTATACTGAGGAGGCT